ATGGTGGGGGGGGGGTTGTTGTTAGGTTTCTATAGCCTCATGTTTAGGTGTTGCTAGTAGTTGTTACTGAATGTTTAATCAGCCATTTTAGTTAAATACCTTCGATATCTGTTTAGTAGAACTAATTTTAAGAAGAACATGTGTTTATTTCGGTCTCCATAATTATATCTTCTGAGAATTTTGGTAAACGCCATGTCTGTTTCTGAATAGAAGAGAATAAATATTTGCAATATCTGAAATGTTTTGAGCAAAGAGGAAGGCAAGATAGAGTAAAGAGACTTGGTTTAATTCGAGATTATACTTTATTATGATTCTTTGAGGTGCTAAAGTTCTTTTTACATGTAAGGAGTTTCGGCGTAGACTGTTGATTTAAGACTTCAGAAAACGAGGTTTTGGTACGTTGAACTTTGCATTTTAATTAATGAGCATGTTAGGCACTCAAAGATGCTTACATTCAAGAAAATAAAGGTAGAGAACAAGTGGAGTCTTATTTTTATATGCTTCATGCTAACGCTAGTAATTTTATGACGTAAAACTCGTGCGATCTCCCAATAAAGCTCCATTTGGGTCCAGATAGTATTAGTTATCCTACACCAGAAATTAATTTTCCAGGACCTGAAGGGAATTGACGATCAGCTTGAAGTCATTGCAGCTAACAGCTCCATCACCGTCTGCATCTATGGAAGCAATAATGCCTTGGCAATCCTCCAAAGACAAATCTAACCCGCCATTCAATGTAGCCTCGAACAATTCCTCTGCAGTAACAATTCCATCAACATCAACATCAAGAGCATCAAAGGCAGTTTGGAGCAAGTTTGCAAGTTCACCGAGCTCCATATCCTTGGTGTTCATCTCCAAAAACTCTTGCATGCTTAGCAAACCATCCTTGTTAGTGTCTCCTTGCTGCATCATTGCACTCACATCTTGTTCACTTGCGTTGTATCCAAGTGACCCCAAGATGCCGCCAAGCTCAGCTGCTGTAATAAAGCCATCATTGTCTGAATCGAAGGCTCTAAAAGCCTCCATCAGGCTCAGGACTTGGTTCAGTGACTCTAATTCAGCAGAAAGGGATCCAAGCTGAGCCATGGAAGCTTTCGAACTGCTATGCAAGCTGGTGTTTGCTTTGCATCTCAACTTTACGATATATATAGAGAGAAAAATGTGAGATCATAGACTGATAGTTATCCTTTTGCAGTTGCTTTATGTCATCATAAAGTACAAGGAAAGGCAGGTTCTTATGCTTGAAAAATGCAGTTGTTATCCCCAAACTGTTATCCGCAACCTTTTCATGTTGGCTTTGATTCCCTTGTTAATGGAACGTAGATTTCACTTAATTCAATTGACGTGCTACATGGTATTAACTTCTTGCTGAAATTTCATCCATGTTGCCTACTCATTTTAAATTATGCGAACATTTTCTTGTAAAATATTCGGATTGTAGATATATTCGCAATCGCTTTATTTTCTCCCAAGTTGGTTCCATCTATACCCAATTTCGATGCTTTTGGTAGGATTCTTTCAAAAAGCGATACTTATTCCTCTATCTTTAGTTTCACAAATCACAACGCTGCACACGGATAAGCAGGGCAGCACTTCTTTCAATTGTTTCTGATTACACTCATTTTATACACAGATGTTTTTATACTGACGGTTTGCATATCCTGTGACTGCATCATCACCTCTGCATCAACGCCCCAAAGAAGACATTGCTGAAATGATGATCTGCCGACAAGCGTGCTTTGCAGAGTTTAAAGACCATCTTCCTGTGCTCCATGTTTGTACGGAGAGGACTCATTATATCGAGTCAGAATGTGTATACTATGGCATAGTTCAAGCAACTATTTGTAGCTGATGTTAAATATTCATTTGTTGTAATGTCAGTAGATGCTCCTGGGTAGTGTATTTTTCAGATAATTTTAAGATCCACCTCAGAAGGTCACCTCCTCCCAAAGACAAAAGCTACTCCCACGTAATAAGCGTTCTGCCATGTTGTCGCTCATCCATGGCCTTGTAACGTACTGATTTCTTCTAATACAATTCATATCTTGGACCTAAACACAAGTCCAACGTTTGACAAGACCGTTACATGTGCGTTTACTAGAATCCCTTTGATCTCATGCTATCAAATTTGGAGAAAATGGTGTAACTTTAAGAGTTTTAACTTTTCAGCAACCAACCGAACAGAATTAGCGGATCAGCATGATACTAGGTATTTAATTCAATCTGCACTTTTCATGAAAATAAAAGGACACCCTTCTCCTGTACAATTTCGGTGCATCTGATTACATGCCAAAAAAATTATTTGATCCAGGATCAAGCAGTAGATATCTCCCCTTCACCTCCTGCTCCTCACCCCTTGTTGCCCTGCAATCCACATGTCAATTCCTTAAGCATACACGTCAATTTCTTCTGCGCAAAAACATAAATTGAAGTTATTTTAAAAATTGTGCTATTAACTACAAGGTGCAGGTAGAAAGGTTTATAACTCAAATAATTAACGAGATTTAAGCAAAAATTGAAGCTTCTGCTTTCGGGGACTCCCGTTTGCTTCCTGCTATTGATTCGTTCTGGAGACTGGACCCGACTACTGGTTTGCTTCACCATCTCCGTCATTTACAATTCGCTGGTACCCATTGCCTTTCTCTTTGCTGAAACATTCTAAGAAATGATCCCCGAATCCTTGCTGATGCACCTGACCATTTCCATTTCTGGTCATGCAAGCATTTTTCTTAAGAGTCTGGTAATGCAACCAGGCATATTTTACAATGTACTTCGCTTGTTTCAAAAATGAAAGATTGGAGTTCATTACCTTTGACTTGGGCCTAGATTTCCGTCTGAACCACTCCATAGAACCACCGCACCTTAGGTCGCTGGCATAGACTAGAAGCTGAACCCGGCGATCAAAACCACGAGTTCTTGTGGTTTTCTTGGTGGTAGGTTCGTGTTTTTGCTGTAACGTTTTCTTGTGGATTCAGTATACATGCTGATAATTACTCCTTTGGTGCTGGCCCTAGTTTTCACAATCTTATTCCTTCGATTTTTCTCTACGCCTTTTTCGCTCATGTCTATGCTGGGGGGTATATCCATGGACAAGTTCTTCTGATGGCACGAAGTCAATTCCTTGCAGTAATGAAAAAGGAAGAACGTAATGTTATCTCTGTGTATTTTATTAGCTATTTCATAACGGGAACAGCTCAATTAAAATATCCGAACTTAGCCTAAGGCCAATACTGTTTTAGTATACGGACCCTTTAATGATATTATTATAAACCCTCCTCTTCAGTCTTCATATTTAACAGTGTCTTTGTTTTTACTTTTAGAAATTTTTTTAATTTAAGATTATTATAACGTATTAATATAAAAAATAAAAATACCTTAAAAAAACAAACACTCTGTTAAATGTGTTAAAATATATTAATATTTTAATGTGCATCGGGGCGGGACAGATTTAAATATTTGGAGTAGATGCCCCATAAAGCTAGCAGCGGTGAGAAATAATGCTTTGATAATGAGCGATGCAGTAACTTTTATTTTTAATTTTTTTTTATAAAATGTATTTGAAGTGAGAATATTATATTAATATTCTTTGTAGTTTTAATATATTAATTTTAAAAAATATTTTTTAATATTTTTTCAAATTAAAATTATTTTAAAAAAATAATATCTAAATTTAATTATTAATTTTTGGTGCCCTGCCTGAAGAAATTTGTAGTCTCGCCAATATTTCAATTTCCTTACCACCAAAGTACAAC